ATTTTATAATTTTTGCGGGAAATTGAAAGTCCTTTTTTTGCGATTTTTTGTATGTAATTTATTAAGTATGTTATGGGGTAAGGGGTAAGGGGGTAAGGGGGTAAGGGGGTAAAGGGGTAAGGGGGTAAGGGGGTAAGGGGGTAAAGGGGTAAAGGGGTAAGGGGTAAGGGGTAAGGGGTAAGGGGCAGCAATGGTACGAGCTCAATTGAGTAACAAAGTAATGGTGTTCAATCGGGCATGTCGCGCTGTTTCTTTGTTAAATACATCCGAACATGTTCATGGGTGTCTATCTAGCATAGATGATAAACTATTTACATTTGCATAATATGAACAAGTGATTTGCTTTGATAATGTCGTCTATCATATGTCCTTTGTTGCACAAGTCACCCCTACTTTGGTGTGACAAGTACATCTAAAGCGATCCATCCCCTTATAATCTAGATGTCGTCGAAAGAGAAGTTCAACGGCGGGAGAAATCCTCTTGCCAATAGTGACGCGTATGTTAGCATAAACACACCGCATTCGTTAATGCCGCGCTGTCTAGGAATGCCTGACACATTCCATATGTGGTTGAAATCTTTTGTATCTACCACCTTACCCTGTTCAACTGATCTTTCGAACAAAAATCTTGCGAAACCACCTGTCACTTTCCTTGCGAATTCTTTGTCAGGGGGAAGCGAGTCGTAGTACTCTATTTTCTGGCGTCTCAAGTCCGCTATTACTAGAGTCCAATGGTTGGACATCCGAACATGGAATGAAACTATTATTAAGTCTACGTCGCCCACATCGATATCTGTCATCCACTTTCGCATTGGACTATATTTGTATTGCATATCGTCATCGAACAGTTTCGCGAAGAAGAAGGAACTAAAAATTGTTGTTATATGGATGCGCCCTTTTCCTTCCACTACAGTTCCGTCTTATCCGCTGTCACACTCGCGATCGCTTATGCGACACATGTTGTCAAGCCTAACGAGGTTCAAATAAAAGTTAACTATTTCGTTGTTCAACCATTTGCCTTGAAGCAATATCAAGCTCAAATCATGCTCAGTTAGTGTTAGTTCTTCTTTTGTTGCCCCGTTGTACGTAGATGTCCAGACCGTTCGATTCTCCACTTGCACTGAATCTCGTAAACGTTGTACCGCGGCCTTTTCCTTCTCCGACAACTTATCCGTCGCTAAGTGGATCGTCCATCCCTGTTTGCATCTTCGCACTTCTTCTATGTTCCTCCTTTCTGCACATGACAATGCATTATGCGCCAACGTAAGCTATCAATATTGGGGCTTGCCATATTTGCATGCCCGAAACGACCTTCAAAATTTCAATTGCTAAATCTTTGCCAACATGATACTATATTGAGTACACATAAACACCCCGACCTCCACCCTTCCGCGTAATATGTCGTATAACACGGATACCATTCCTGTCGAATTACCGTTTGTTTTTTAGGAGGAAATCGATCAATGAAACTTATCACAATCTATCATGGTTATCGGTAACCCTGCTTCCATCCGTTCACTGTTGATCATGTTCATTACTATTGGTAAAATTTTTCAAAATAGGTTCATAATATTCACAGTACGCTACAAGATGACACAACAAGTTATGTGAAATCTTAGGTGTTAATTGCACATGACAGGCAAAGTGCCCCATATAGTGTGTTTTCATATGCCTTCATTATAAAACTGTACCAAGCACATGCACACAATTTAGTCCACACACAGAACCTGGCGTTGCTAACGAGTCAACCTCTGCGTACTCAAACCCAGACACACACATACACACACACACACACATACACACACACACACATACACACG